AAAGTTAAAATCCAAAAGGCCTGGGTGGCACAGTGCACTAAGCATCGGTCTCTTGATTTTGACGCAGATCAGGATCTGGATCTTGGGGTTTTAAGATCAAACCCAGTGTCAGGCTCTGCACCGGATATGGAGCCTGCTTAAGATTCTCTAATTCTCTCTGCCCCTCCCTGCCTCTGGGAAAAAAAAAAAAAATTCCAAATGTCTCCACATTCCAAAGTCTTTTAATCAAACATCTTCAAGACTATTCTCACTATCTTGCTTGATAATTGTTATCCGGGCTAAGATGAAGCCTGAACTAGACTTTCACATTTTCTATCAAAGTTCCAATCTCTGAAGCCACTTCCAAGAGTTAATAATAATCCCTATGGTCATAGTCTATGCTAAATATTTACAAATTGATCACTTGTTATATAAAACCCAATATACTGTCATTCTCCAGATCCAATCATAAGACATCAGACATCTATTACAACATACAGAGTAAGCAACTTGTGAAATCTGCTTGTAAGAAGTGATGAAGAATTTCAGGACCTTAATGTCTTTCTTTTCATCTACTTGAATTCTTATATCACCTCAAAGCATCTTCAGGGAATTAGGCCCTGGTCAGCCTCTCAACTGCAGTGTAATTTTTATTAATTTTTCTAGCTGAGATTATTAACCCTCAAGTATACACAGAAGCTAACACAGACAAGCCCACCTGTTGCCTCCAAGCCTCACCAGAATTCCTCCCTGGAACAAAGGGTAAAGCTTTCCAAAGACTATGTCAGAGGTAGGCTGTTCCTCCGGGGTGGGAGAAACCAGAGAACCCAGAGTTGGGCCTACTGCCACCCCAGAGTCTGGCCAAGCGGTGAAAAACACAGAACTGGAGGAGGAAAGGAAAAGAATGAAACCCAGAATAACAGCAAATAGATTGCTCTCAAACTAGGATGGTTTTAAAACATAACTTGCTTTAAAATATATATATATATATATATATATATATATATATATCTTGCTTACTAAATAGACCATATACATCACTGAAGGTTCCACATTGACTGAATGAAACTAAAATCCTAACTCCTAAACTGAAATTCTGCAGAAATCAATCCCTTTCTAGATAAATCATTCTACTAGACACCAAAAATAATAATATATAGTGATGGACTGGCTTGCTTCAAATTCACCAAAGAAATGTAATACATTATTGCAAGCTAGTTTTGTAATGTGTGGTGTTCTCATCAAATTAAGGTTTACACGGGATTTAGAAGTAGTGAGAAAATAAAAATCAACTCAAAAGGCTGGATGCTGTGCTGCATAATGGTTTTCATTACAATGTTTAGCTCTAAAGAGAGCAACAAGATGTTCTGGGAGGGGTATAAATCTCAAATGTTAAACGTTTCAGAAAAAGGAGCACATTTGTTAGAGCTTCATAATTTAACTTCCTTAAAAAAAAAATTTTTTTTTTTAAAGTCATATGCTGAGGAATCACAGAGCAACATGCTCTATCTTCTACATCAGATCTTTTCTGCAGGCCAACTGGGACCTAAAAAGTAGGCAAGGAATTATTAGTATAGCATAGTGGCTGAAAGCCTAGACTCCAAAGGCCACCTGTTCAACTCTCAGCTCTTAGTAGTGGGACACTTTGGGCAAGTTAAATATATATATATAATCTGTGCCTCGGTTTCCCCAACTACCGGATGGTGGGGATAGAGTTTGTCCTGTACGACACATAGGTTGCTGTCCGGCATAGGAGTTAGGCTTACAGAGTGTTTACTCTGTCCCATCTGTTTGGGGATTCAGTGTCTCTCCAAAACTCTATCAGCAAAAAAAGTGCTTTCTTCCTGAACCGAAAACGCAGCCCTGAAAAACCTGACAGTGACCACCTTAATTAAGCATAAAAAAGCTCCACCTTCCAAATCCTCTCCCCTCGCCCACAAACCAGAATACAGACCAGAGCCTGCTCTTCCAGCAGCCACTGTCACTTTCCATCAACTGCATTCTGCTCTATGTAGAACTTAAGCCCCTCGAGGAGGACCAAGGCTGAATATTAAAATACTGGAATTAACTTTGCCTACGATTTCCCAGTAACTGAATGAGTCACTCACGTCTTTAGTAACAGTAAAATGTCAAGGTTGCCAGAGAACCCCAGCCCCAGATGTTTGCATAAATCATTTCCAAGTGATCATCACACAAGAGCCAAAGGACATTATTTAAAATAAGCTAACGGCTTAAGTAAAATATATCAGCTTTTTTTTCTTGTAATGAAGAAAATTCTGAAAATGTGATGAGGTGCGGGGGGCAGAGGATCATAGCAAGTTGAGCCACCGAATTATACAACCTATGAATTAGCAGGGCTTAGCATTCCTTTGGGTATGGCTTCCGAGGGCGGTTACCCCATTTTTAACTTCCATTCCCTCTCAGTAACAAGCACTGGGCAAACTCCATAAAGTGAAGCCTTAAAAACATCCCATGGTGCTTACCTCACTGTAGCTTCTGTATCATACTAATAGAGAAGAAAAAGCTTTTAACAATGTTGAGACATGTTTACAACAACATCTGTAATACTTTCCACCTGCGAGGTACTTTGAGGGCTCCGGAGGGGCCACGGGCGTCCACCATGAGGTCATTTTTCACTTTCAGAACTCTGACACAGTTTAGGAGTTTAGTTTGCGTTAAACTGCAACCTTGTGCCCTCGCACATCACGACAGCAAATGGCAAGGAGGCTCTCTGGTCGCTTACATTGCCACCAAAAAAAAAAAAAAAAAAGAAAGAAAGAAAGACCCAGGCAACTTGTGCAGTATGTCTGGATCAAGTGGTGAGACGGAGCCGGTTTGGAGTCCTGCAGGTCCATTCACCCCAGAGGGTGATCACACGGCACCCAGTTTTACGAGGATTTCTGGAGAGCACAGGTCATGATGGGTCAAGGCCCTGACAGCGCATCCTTGCAGACAGAACCGGTGCCTGCTTGAGCAACTTCGTGTACAGGAGAGACCTCGGGCGGGTGGTTCCGCGAGCAGGGAGCGCGCGCCCCAGGGCGCAGGCCGAGCGCCCCGCAGCTTCGGGCCGGGGTATGGCAGCGCCCCGGCAGCGGGCTCCCGGCGGCCGCACAGCAGCCCCGGGCAGCGGCCCCAGCCCCAGCCCCAGCCCGGGCTCTGCCGCGGGGAATAAACTTTGCTTCCTCCTCCAGACCGTGGAGAGAGAGGCGCCGCGGAGCCGACGGGGGTGTGCGGGACCCCGTTTCCGCGGCCGCCCCCGGGGTGGGGGTGGGGGTGGGGGGTCCGGCAGGTGCGCGCCGCCACCCCACGGGCCCCGGGGCGAGCGCGGGCACCGGGGCCACCGCCCCTGGGTAGGAGGAGGTGGAGGGGGGCGGAGGAGGAGGGGGGGCTGGAGGAGGAGGGGGGACGAAGAGGGGAGGAGGGGGGCGGGAGGAGGGAAGAGGGAGAGGAGGAGGAGGAGGGAGAGGGGGAGGAGGAGGAAGGAAGGGGGCTGGAGGAGGGGGACAGGGAGGGAGACGGGGGTTGGAGGAGGAGGAGGGGGAGGAGGAAGAGGAGGCAGGGAGTTTGGAGGAGGAGGAGGAGGAGGGTTGGAGGAGGGGGAGGAAGAGCAGGACGGGGGGAGGAGGACGGGGAGAGAGGAGGAGGGGGTGCGGGGGGAGGAGGAGGAGGGGGAGGAGACCGTGGAGGGAGGAGGACGGGGAGGAGGGGGAGGGAGGGGGAGAGGGGAGGAGGACGAGGAGGAGAGGGCTCCCCCGGGGGGCGGCCCCCGTCGTCCGGGCGCAGCGGAGCGCGGGAGGCGGCGGCTCGGGCCCCCCCTCCGCGCCCCAGGTGGAGCTCTCCGGGCCGGGGCGCGGGGGCGCGGGGGCGCGGCGGGGGCGGCCGGGGCAGCCCACGCCCGGCGGCGGGGCCCGGGGCTCACCTGCGGGAAGGAGCCCTCGCGGCGCGGGCCCTTGGGGTAGTCCAGGTGACCCCGGTCCAGCATCAGGTAGAGCGAGAAGATCACCACGCAGAAGATCGCGCTGCCGAACACGGTGAACTGGCGGCTCAACTTCATGGTTTCCTCGATGGACGCGGGGCCCGGGCACCGTCCTGCGCCCCGGGCGGCTGCGGGTGCGGCTGCGGCTGCGGGTGCCGGTACCGGTGCCGGTGCGGGTGCGGGTGCGGCTCCCCGCGCGCTCGGCCGGGCGGCCCTGGCTGGGCGGGACCGGCCTGCAGCCCCGGGGGGCCCCGCAAACTTGGCCCGGGGAGCGCGGAGGCCGCCGCCCGCACTTCCTGGCGCCGCCGCCCGGACCGGGGCGGCAGGAAAAGTTTTCGGGCGGAGGGCGGGAGGGTCCCCGGCGCGCGGCGGGAGCGGGAGCGGCGGGAGCGGGAGCGGCCGGGACGCGCAACTTAGCGCCGGGACGGCCCGCCCAGGCCCGGCCGGGGTGCGCCGGGCTGCGCCGGGCTGCGCCGGGGCGCGGGGACCTGCGGCTCCGGAGGGACTGCACCCCGCGCCCGCCCCCCGGCGCCCCTGCTCTTCCGCCGGGACCGGCTGCGCGGGGAGGGCGCAGGGGGCGGCGGCGGCGAGCGGCGGAGCAGCGCCCCCGGAGCCGAGCCGAGCCAAGCCAAGCCAAGCCAAGCCAAGCCAAGCCCGCTTCCCGCCCCGCACGCGCGGAGATGGCGGCGGCCGCCGCGGAAGGAAGCGCCGCGTCCCCGGCTCCCGCCCTCCGCCCTCCGCCCGCCGCGCAGGAGGAAGCAGCCGCGGCGAGGCGGCTGCCGGGTCAATGGGCGCCCGCAGCCCCGCAGCCGAGCAGGCGGCTGGCCCCGCCCCCTCCGACGCGTCGGCCGGGGGCGGGGCCTGCGGCGGCCAATCACGGCGCGCCGCTCCTAGGCGCCGCCCCCGGCGCCCCGGCGGGGAGCAGACCTCGGACGGCTTTTGTGCGGCTGCGGCGGCGGCGGCGGCCCCGGGGAGGGAGGGGCATGGGGGATGGGGATGGGGGGGTGGGGGATGGGGGATGGGGGCGGGCCTTCTCCGGCTTCCTTCCCTCCGCCCCCGGCCTGGCGCGCCTGCGGCGGCCTCAGCGGCACCATCGGAGCGCGCGCTCGCGTGCAGTCAGACCCGCCCGCGCTGCCCCCGCGGACCTCCCCACGGCCGCGGCCCCCCCGCCCCGGGCTGCCCGCCCTTCTTGACTGCGCCGAGCAAATGCAGCTGGGCCCGCTCGAGTAAGTCTCCCCTCGCCCGCGGCGCCGCAGCTGTGCCGGGAGAGGGCGCCGGAGAGCCGCTCCGGGAAGCCCGGCTGCGCCTGCTGCTTGCTTGCTGTTAGGCGGCCGGCCGGCGTGCAGGCAGGTGTGGGCAGGTGCGGGCAGGTGTGGGCAGGTGCACCGCGGCGAGCCCGGGCCCAGGTTTCCCTCCTCACCCCTAACGCTGCTGCTCCTGCGGCGGGAGCATCCCCACTCCCCCAGGCTCCCCAGAGGCCAGGTTCATGGAGGTTCCCCAGGGCGGGGCTCCGCAGGTGCTGCTGGGCTGCCCTTCGCTGAGCCCCAGGGAGCCGACTCCCCAGGAGGGTCTGGGAGGGGTTGGGCGGCTCCTCTTGGGGAGCTCCACACACCCCCCCCACCAGCCCTGGGGTTCCTTACTAGGGCAGCTCCTTAGAACCCCTGTTTGTATGTTCTCTAGGGCCGTCTTCCCCCATTCATCCTGTTAGGGCCTATAATCATGTGGTGTAAACCTTTTTATTTCTCTTAAGCTTTACCTGTAAGTCTAAGAGGTAGCCTTGGAAAGATGGGGTTTGGAGTTTGCTTGCATTGGGCCTTTGGCTTGAGCTCAGTGCTGACCTCCTTGCCAAAGGGCGATGAGGCGCAGGCGATTCGTGGCACACAGGCCATTGCCAATTAATCAATTGCTTGTGGCTGATTGTGATCAAGGACCAAATGAAGCATGTGCCTTGCGGGGGCCGAGTGGCAGCCACATTTGACTGTCAACGGCTGTAAGGCGACTCTAAGGACTGCAGCCTGAGATGAGATGGATTCTTTTGAGTTCCTTTGAGTACCTACAAAGAGAAACAAGCACAGACCAACGTGGTGGCATGAGAACCGGAGAGCTTCTGTGACAATTCTAAAAGAGGCTCCTATATACTGCAGATAAAACAACAGCAACAGAGGTCTTTCTGAAGATCAAACACGAAATTTTGATTTTTTTTTTGAGTCACTGAATTACAACTTGAATTCACAGATGTGCCAGGTTTCTCGTGAAAAAGTTCAGGCACTGATGATTCAATAATAGGACTTCGAAAGTCAGGATGGGTTGCACCCAGATGAAACTGGTGATCGTGAACCATTAAGTCACCCTGGGCCTCTCTGTGGTGGAAGCACGCTGCCCTCCAGTGTCTGAGGAGGTGGGCTTCCTCTGCTTGAAGACTTGTGACAATCGCCACCCCACCCCCGGGGGGGGGGGCAGTGCCTTGAGAGGGAATTCACATTCTCTTCAAAACCCAGCACAATCACCCTCTGTTACCACCATACTCTTTTTTTTTTTTTTTTTTGGTTAAGATTTTATTTATTTACTCATGAGAGACACAGGCAGAGGGAGAAGCAGGCTCCATGCAGGGAGCCCAATGTGGAACTCAACCCCAGGACCCCAAGATCACGCCCTGGGCGGAAGGCAGACGCCCAGCCGCTGAGCCACCCGGGCTGCCCGCCACCATACTTTTAACAAGGGTCAGACCTCCGCGTGCTTCTGGGGGATAGGAGCAGACTGTGATGAAGGAAGAACTATTTACACACCAAAACTGATACACAGGCAGAAGAAATAACTTACATACTTTGTTAATAGGAAGGCAGAAACCTGGAGAACACAGCGGCAGTGGCTTCTAAGGGTGTTAGGCCACAGGAGGTTGGAGTAGAACGCTACACTGAGCCAAATTTTTTGTTATGGTATTAATTGTATGTTTTAGCTTGTGCAGCTAGTGGTGGTTCTAATAGCTTACCTGGTTGATTGATGGAAACTTGGACCCGGTTTGTGATGTTGAGGTACCCAAGCTTCCCAGACATGTGGAACAAGGAATCCAAAGATTTGGGGAAATGTTATACTGGATGTGCCATATACTACCTGCTTACCTATCCTCAACTGTATTCCGTCAAAGGCTCAGAGACATTCCCTTCATTGGAAAAACTGAGAAATGAATTAGTGAGAGGAAGACCTGCATCTTTGAAATCTCTGTGGATGTTCCCCTGTGTAGGCCATGTATGTCTATAGAGGATGCCCCACTGGGATGGGCTTCCGAACGTCTCTGGAGATGACGGCACCTGAGAATAGTAGAGGACAGGCAGTACTTAGGCACCAAATGTGACGTGGGAATATTTCCCTTAAAGGGCAGCAAGTGTGTACAGGCAATCCGATGGCCTAGCCCTCAGAGGTCCCTAGGAACAAGAACATAGCCAACCTAATAGAGTACTGCTTGATATTTATAATAGCAAAAGCTCTAAGTCAGGCAGGTAAAACCTAACTTGAGTCAGCAGAGTGGACAATCACAGCCTTTCACTTGGTTTTCAGTTCACAGACCCCGAGCCCCTTGATTGAAGGAGAGTCTCCTTCAGGAAGGACCTTGCACCATTGCTATGATACACATTGTAAATGTTTGTCCAAGCCTCACCCAAAGAGCTGCGCCAGTTACTAGAGTGACAGTACGCGGGAGAAAAGGAAACATGCAGATCTCTTGAAGTTTACTAGACCCTGGATCTGAACTGATGGGAATCCCTAAGAATACAAAACACCACTTTTATGCTATGACCAAAGTTGGAGTTTATCTTGGTCAGTAGTTACATGAGGCCTTAGCTCGTGTCCAAGGCAAAGTCTGTCCTGTTATTTCATTTGATCCACACACCAACTTACTGGTTATTTACTCGGTTCTAAAACTGACAATATCAACACATTAGCTTTTTAACCCATGAAGTGAGGACCATTATGGCAGAAGGAACTAAGTGGGATGCTCCTGGCACTTTTACTGTCTTCCAAGATCATAAACCAGAAATAATACCACAAGAAAAGACCTGAAAGAAGTAGGGATGGTGATAGTATCACATTCCCATCTAACTCACCAGTTTGGCCAGTGCAAAAGTCATATGGATCTTTAAAAAGTGGATTCCTATGAACTTAACCAGGAGGTAATTCCAATTGTGGCTGTCTGGCTGTCCCAGGTGCAGTATTTTTACTGGAATAAATCAACATAGCACCTGGTGCTTAGTATATAGCTACCAAGTTAGCCAATGCAGTCTTCTCCATACTTATCTATAAAAACCAGCCAAAGCAGTTGGCCATTAGCTACCAAAGCCAATGATACTCCTTCACAGCATTACCTCAGGGCCACATCTGTTCTCCTTGATATAGTCTACAGAAATGGCGATCGTCTTGACGTTCCACAAAACATCACACTGGTTCGTTTTGGTTGTTCGTAATGACACCATTATGCTAATTGGACCTGATGAACTGGAAGCAGCAGGTATTTCAGATGCCTTGGTAAGATATCTTTGAACTAGAGGGCAGGAGAATGTAATCACGAGTATGAGATAATAACTCTAAAGTGGTCTTGGCAGGTCCCACACCTTTAGGGTGGGATAAGTTCTAGGATGGTAGAAGCTATAAAGCAAAACAAAAACACTGAGGGATGGATCCAAGCAAATGGTGTAGATTAGAAATGATGAGGTTTGGGAAAAAGGATAACGTGATTGCTGCAGAGACTGGTCATGTGGCTTTGGAAGGAAATGAACAGCCCAGCTGGTGGAAGAGGACTACCCTAAACCCTGGGAAGTCAGAGGCTGGGGAAGGAATCATTAGACCTCTCCTGGCTCTCACATGATGCCTTTGTGATCTTGAATACCCATTCTTTACCTAAATCCTAGACTCTTAGATGTTAGGACTTAGATCCTTAGTGCTTAGACCATAAACTAAGGACTGTTGGCCTTTCAGGTAAATGACCTCCACTTGAGATGACAGAATGAGATGAATCTTCTGGACATTAATGCGGGTCCTCCTCCCCCCCACCCCCACTCCAGCCTGGCTTTATTGTCAGTCCCTTGTGGTCTCTCCCTATCATCTAAGAAAAAAAAAATTTCTCTTGTATGCTTTTTCCAAACCCAGAGCCACTGCTGAATTTAACTGCTGCATCTGTCATTCCCTCCTGACCCTACTGACAAAAACTTAACAGCTTTTCCTTTGGACACTGAAGAATTAAACCTTGACCCCAATGTCAGCAGAATGCCATTGCTTAAGTCACTATAAACGTATTAGCATAATCTAGTTCAACTGGAATAGTCTATACCACAAGGGCTGGGCTGGTTGGCTCTCTTAGCCAGATCGTTGTCTCCAGAAGCAGCTCCAATCAGGGAGTCTGTCCACCACAAGGGACACAAATTGACCCACCTTTGTTGTAACAAATGACACTTACACTCCTAATATAATTTATGCCCCCTGTAGGGTACTCGTGTGGACATCAGACCTCTACTTGCCTGAAAAACATAAACCAGTATAAAATCTCAAATGCAAGTGATTATAGGCAATCATGTTGCCCTGGACTTCCTGCTGGCTGGTCAAGGGAGAGTCAAACGCCAACACCTATTACTGCACTTAGATTAATGAATCAGGAAAGGTAGAAAGAAAGCAGAGTGGCTTTCTCAGGTCAATCTCAACAACATCTGAGATGTACTTAACTGGCTTGGCTCTGGATGGGGAGCCCTTTTGCAATTAATCCTTTGAATTAGCCTAACCATCTTGCTTAGGAGTCCTAGTCCTGGTCACTTTGATCTGCTGTGGTGTAAGATGAATGGAAAGCATTTGGTCCAAGCCCCTACAATCAATGAGTACAATTAATTCGGTAATCTCATGGGTGGCCTGAACTCCTGAAAATAATTCTTACTTCAATACATGAAAGTTCAGGGGTAGAGTTATTGGGATACAGCCCTACCAGCATATGACCGTCCACGTCTTCGCATGAGCCAGACAGGCATATCGGATCAATCCGGGTGGAATGCTCTGCAATTCCTCCGTAACCAAGAGGAGATAAGCTTCTTGTGGGGAGCAGAGTTCTATGAAGCCATTTCTCATCGAGCTCCCTAGTTTCAGTAGAGCATAGCCCTTTCCGTCTTACTCTGCTCCACTTCAACTGTAGCTTCACACTTCTGGGTAAGCCAAGAAACTGCCAGGCTATGGTTTAGATGGCTTCACAGGAACAGATCAACTCATCACTCCTGTCTTTGTCATCAGTTCCTTCCAGTTGAGTATGATCCTGTGGGACCAGAGACATGGGGAGGTGACACCATGTTGATATTATTTTTGCTGTATAAGTACCAAATCTCCTGAATCCAGTTGAGCCTATTGCCATCTTACTGGCTGTACCTCTGGAGGTCTGGTAGGTCTAGTAGCCTCAGTAGTGATCCCTGTGGCCCTGCTAGCTACAGTACTGCTGCTTCAGAGCTGTTCAACCACTCATTGGAAGGGTCATATTTTCCTAACCTGAAGCATGAGGAAAGCCATTCCAATGTAGGGGAAAATACTCATGCAGAAAAACAGGGTGAGCAGAAGCAAGACTTTGACATATTGGGGCGACCAAAGCCTATAGGGTTGGAGCAAGTGGAGAGAGGTTGAAGACACAGGAAAAAGAAGAGTTAAGTGAAGGATCAAGGTGGTGAAGAAGGTACAGTGATGGGGACCAATAGCTCTGGAGGAGAGAAGCACTCTGGACAGGAGGAAGAGCCCCGCGCCCCCCGCCGCCCCAAGGCCAACGAAGTCAGCTCCTCCCTGTCCTTTCCCATCACAGAGCTCCTATGTCTCCTGGCCTCTTACCAGGTCTCTTGACTAATCTTGTCCTACTGTCACTGCTTACCCAGTGCTCTAGGTTTGTGAAAATGTCCATCACATGTTCTTGCCTAAAATCTGCCAGTAGTTTCCTAGCACTTTCAGATCTAATTCTAATCACATCAGTATGAACCCTAAGTTTTTCTGAGTTCTGACCTCTGTCTTTCTATCCAGCCTATCCTCCCACCCGCCCTCTTCCACACACAGTCGCTATGCTAGTCATGCTGAACAACCTGCTTTCTCCCTGTTGAACCAAGAGGACAGGGCTGCTAGGTGTGGTTGTACAGACCATACGTAGAACAGCTCTGAGAGGTGCTGTATGTTCCGCTGATGTTGTCAGTGCGTGTAGTTATTAGAACTATCTTCTGGAAGATGGGAGTACAGTATCTAATTCTACTGAAATTAGTATAATAGGACAATTTCATGGTATATGGAAATAAAGTACCTGGAGAAAGGGCTCAGTTTTACAAAAAACTTGAACAAAGGTGCACCTCAGATCCTTGGCACAATTCTTTATGTCTAGAATGCCATTAGCAGCCCTGTCCACCGGCATACTCCTATTCATTCTGTACAAAGAAGCTCAAACACTCTCTGTCTCTACAAATATTACCAGGTATTTGTTATAACTATTTACTTCATGGTCTGGAAGTATTTGTGTTCTTATCCCTGCTCTGAAATGTCTAGTGTAGTGAGGTGGGTTGTTTTTTGTTTTTTTTTTTTTTAAAGATTTTATTTATTTATTTTAGAGACAGTGTGTGCGACAAAGGGGAGGGGTAGAGGGAAAGGGAGAAAGAGAATCCCAAGCAGACTCCCGGCTGAGCGTGGAGCCCAGCATTGGGACCCTATCTTAGAACCCTGAGACCATGACCTGAACTGAAATCAAGAGTCCAACTGAGTCATCCAGGTGCCCCTAGTGTTGTGTTTTCAATATTTATCTTTATGCATTTTATCTGGCATGAGCACATGGAGGTGTTCTGGATCAGAGGCAGATTTCTTATTACCCCAGAGTAAACAAGAACTGCATGCTCCCCTCTCCCAGCTTGCTCCAGGTATTACCCTAGGGCGATACTATGAAAACCAAGGAAATTTTTTCTACATGAGTGACTGATACCCTATTGACAAGGGACAAGAAGAAGTGATTTTTCATGTGTTTATAAAGGTAAAGGATGCAACTCTTCCTCCTCATCTCAGGAAAGGGTCTCCTGACTCCAGATGTTTCTAAGCTCCAGGGCTTCATTCTTAGTTGGAATTTAAATAACTAGAAAGATAACACTCCAGTCTCCCCAGAAGCTTCAGAACTAGCCTAGGTGCCTATCCCAGGATATAATATTTTGCTTTGGGGAAGATAAGAGAAGTTTCATTCTCCCTCTGGATCAGAGCAATTAGCTCTATCATTAGGAAAACAAACAGCTACAGATCTAATCCTTATGATATGAGGAAATGTGTCTAGGAAAAACTAACATTCTCTATAGTGCACATGTTTCTGTGACTTAAGAGGCTAAATAGAGCTTTTTACACGAACACTTAAACAGAGAAGTTTTATTTTACCATCTGGAAGCTGCACGAGGGCAAGGCTCATATCATAAAAACTCAATCTGGTTCCTTCTCCAGGACACATTAGGAATATTATATGATGTCCCCAAAGCTCCACTTTCCAACCTGCCACACTGGGACAATCATAACAATTTTTCAGCATTTGCTGCAGTATTACAAGAGGTAACAAATGACATGTTAGGAGAGCCTTCCCCAGACACCTTCCATTTTCTCTAGGAAAGAGGAAGAATGGTCGGTCCCATGGAGAAGTGAGTAGAGAACATTTGAAATAGCTATCAGAGGAAGTGGATAATGGAGTCCACGTGGACAATATGGGTAGCATTAATATGTCATGGAGCAAGTCTACAATTTTCTGTCCCTGGTATTGATCCATGGCTTGAGAGCCCAAGGAACATTGACTATGAGGATGATCCACAAGGGGCTTTTGTATCAAGATGCAAGAGCAGTGGCCCTGTGAGAAGTGCTCATGGTAGGAACATATACTGCTTTCCCTACCCAAATAAATACATGCTTGCAGCTGAGGCTTGTTAAATGGGCAATCAATGTAATCTTGAACAGGAATAGAGCGTGGGGTGAGGTTTCTGGAAAGTATAAGGTCTCGCTCCATTCTTACGATGAGAGAGGGTCTATGTCTCTATAAGAGCTTCAGGTTATATTTGGTAAAACGAAAATTGGTCTTTTCCCCTGCTAGCTGCTACTCTTAAGTCTGACCGAACTCTTCGGTTGCCTGAATACATCATATCTGAGATTGAAGTTTGGAAGGGAGTAAGAACTTCAGAAAATTTTATAATGACAGTTGCATAAAACTATAAAGGATGGAGAGTTCAATCATTTTATCTCCCACCTGTTGAGAAAATCAGTCTTCCAAGGGCCCTGACCATCTCTACACTTATTTCTGGGTTTGCCAAGAATGCAAGACTCTGACTACTCCTTAACTTAGGTCCATTTGCAGGGTTGTGTTGGCAGTGAGCATCCAAGTAATATCTTCTCCCAAACAAAGAGCAGGCTTACCAGACACTATAAAAGCAGTAGATTCTCCGAGTTCAGTATACCTTGGTCTGTGACAGATATCCTCTATGTGTATGGTACCCATCTGGGATTTGGGAGACATGGGGAACTAACACCAACATCATGCTTATGCTGCTTTGACATTTTTTTTTGTCTCTAAACCAGGCATCCTGTGTTTGTTGCTGGCATCTGTGAAACGGTGAGAGGACCCAGACCCTTCACAGATCCTGAAACTACGGTCTACCTACGAGAATCATGATGCTGTTGGCCTAATCTTCACCTCCCTATGCTTGTCCTTCTGTGAAAAGAAGATAAGAGAGGGGATGAGTCAAGTAACATAATAAACGTCTGAGAAGGTAAGAAGAAGAACGCCTTTTCTTCATAGGGTTTCTCACTATTTCAGATGATTTATTGACTTGCTTTATGTCTGTCTCTTCCAGTAGAATGCAAGCTCCTAGAAGTCAGGGACCTTTTGATTTATCACTGTATCTTAATGAATAAAGTAGTGTCTAGCAATGTCAAGGCTTAATAAATATTTGTCAAATAAATTAATGATTATTTGGGCCTTGAGCCACTAGTTGGGGTGAATTGGTAGTACTCATAATGGGTTGCTGTGGCTCGTAATAGACGTCTGTTTGCTCATGAACAGCATTTAGAGCTATTCCTCTTGTCTGTGAATCAGCACTGAATCTTTGTGTTCCTATGAGGGTGTGGGTTTTGTTTAGGTCCTTTAAAGGGAATTCCCCCCAAAATAATTTTGCTAATCATCTTAATTACTAAAGGAAGTCCAATATGGGGATAGAAAGAAATGAACTCTGTATCGTGAATGACCATACATACTGGGTGCTTTCCTTGTGCTGCCTCATTTAATTCTTACAACTCTGTGAGGTTAATATATTAATATCTATTTCATAAATAAAGGACATAGATACAGGCAAGTTAAAAAACTTGCTTGAGGATACATAGATACTAAAGGGTACAGCTTATTTTTTCTGGCTTCAAAATTTCTTTTTGATACAACGTTCTGCAGAATTGTGATACTTTATACCTTATGAATAGATTTCCTAAAGTAACATTTAGGATGTGTATTTGTCAGTGTAAACAAATAGAATTTGGGGTGCATATATATAATATATATATTTTTTTTAACAAAGGAAGGTATTTAATAGAGGGTGCTCACAGAAATGAATGGTCAGGATTGGAGAAGTGAGTTATAGACAAAGCTTCCAAGAATCAGTGATTCCAGTACAATACAGAGTTGACCTGTCAGCGGAGCTGTGACTGCTGAGGACTTTAGGAATACAAGTTTTAATAACATAACCCTACAATAGCAGGCAGAGCCAATAAGCTACTGCTGTCCAACTGTCACAACTGCTTATTTTCTTTCAGGGGGCTGAGTAATGGGACGTGGTGCACTGCTTCAGAAGCTGTGTTGGTGTGACTTTAATTATTACAGAAAAAACAGACAAGTGGTCAAGGAGACATCCCAACTTCTCTTATGTTTTCTTAATCTTGCATGGATATATCTGATTGACAGACCTACTTCATAGCTCTAGGTACAAAGAGGTCTAGAAACCGTCATAAGCTTCCAGTCTCTGCCTGTGAAAGACACCATAAGAGGAGGGTGGAATGGACATTAAGTGAGCCAACCTGCAGTACTTACCACGGGCAGTACTGGGAGAAATACAGACACAGATACAGAAATACATGTAAGAAATACACAAAGAGAATGGATGAAGATGTTTAAAACTGACTCTGTCCAGGAAAACCTATTCATATGTAATTATTTATTTTAACTCCAAACTCCTAACATTGAAATCTTTATGGCTCTTGGGGCACCTGGGTAGTTCAGTCCATTAAGCATCTACCTTCAGCTCAGGTCATGATCCCAGGGTCCTGGGATCGAGTCCCTGCATCTGGCTCCCTGCTCAGTGGGGAGTCTGCTTCTCCTCCTTCCCCTTACTCATGCTCTCTTACTCACTCTCTCGCTCACTCTCTCAAATAAATAAAATCTTTAAAAATAAATAAATGAATCTTTATGGCAATGAGTTATCTTGGTGAAAATATCCATGCACATGATAACTAAGGCCAGTAATATATCTTGATGTGCACATATCAGAGAAGGGAAAATTATTTGTGGTACAGGATCATCACTTTCATTTTTTTTTGTAGTCCTTTGTTTGCTAACACTACTATTGGCATGATTTAGGGGAAGAGGAGGCTCATTTCCAGCAGGCCCCAGGTCTTTCTTTGGATTCTCTTTGGCTCTGGTTTCTCGTATGCCAACACGGTACTCAAATCAGAAAGGCTTAACAATTTAGTACTCCAAAGCTTCGAAGACACTTAGCACATCCAAGCATTTTACATGGAAGCCTCAGGGAAGCAAAAAGATTTGCCTGGGATCTCAGGGAGACTGGATTAGAAGCCAAGTTCTCTGGCTTCCTGTCCAAACCTTTATTCATCACAATAAAATCAAGCCTTGGACTGTATGCCTCCTCAACACAGAATGAAAACGTATGTGTGGATGTCTATGTGTGTACGTGAAGAAAGGGAGAGACGGCAAGATTCCATTTACATCAAGTTCAATAACAGGCATAACAGCTGTATTTTTCGTGAAATATACTTGCATGTTAACCATGAAGCAAAGTAAGGAAATATTAACCATCAAAGTCTGGTTAGCAGTGGCCGGCAGGGGGTGGGGGGAGTTGTTACTAGTAAAAAGGCACACGGGAACTTGTGGAGTGATGGCAATGTCTCAGGAGACTCAGTTTTATAGGACTGAAGTTTTGTTTTTGGGGTTTTTTTTTTTTTTTGGCATGCAGTGTAATGTATTTGACTTTCTTGTCTTCAGTAACACTTTGTGTTAGTCCTTCCTGTATATTAGAGCCAGGCTGCGTGCTTTTCATGGATTACTTCCTTTCACTCTCACCAGAACACTCTCAAGGAGGCACTGTTATTATCCCCATTTCATAGATGAGCAAACTGAGATGCAGCCTTCACTAACCTGTCCAGGTCCACACAGTTAGGTAGCAGAGCTGGTATTTGATTCATCTGGCTGCAGTGTCAGCTGCTTAACCATTCTGTAGCATGACCCACGAGAAACTGAGTAACTGAGTAAATTATGGACGTTTCTTTCCATTATTATTTTTGCAATCACAAAAGTTACCATTATGATAACTAGGTTAATAAGAGAAAAAAGCAGGATACAAAATTTTATACACACACACATAGCAATGACATCTCTGTTAAAAGTATGTACACATAGCTGTAAAAGGCCAGAATATAAAACACTGGTAAGATGATGAAAATGTCGGTGCTTTGTCCCCCATCTTCTCTGTTTTCCAAATTTATTTTAAAGTGGCCATATTAAATTTACAATGGGAAAACGTTCTGTAAAATAAACTTCCCATTCACCTGAAACATAAAATTTCATTTCCGCACTCTTCTTTGCTGCAGCTTTGTATAATCTTGAGAAGCCTCTTCTGCTCAACGAGTGACTTCATTACTAAATTGATGGCACCCGATCACTCTAGCTATGCAAATCGCAAACCCACAGCCAGCTGAGGAAAAGGCAGATAAAAGATTACATTAAAAATTAAAGCAACGTGTGGAGATGTGGAGATAATGTGCTTACAATTATTTCTACATATTTAATATTTATGCAATTACAAAGCCAGTCATGACAAATCTTAAATCTTGAGTTCTATTCCTTTTGCCCTCTGGTATTTTTGACCTTGAACTGAGACTGCCAAATCACATATAAAAAATGGCTGTGGGAGAAGCATTTCCTTTGGCCTATAAATGATAAATGCTTTTTTCTTAGAAAGTGATCTCATTTCTTCCAAGCCTTTGTTTATTTTCAATGCCTTGTACTTTTTTTTTTTTTTTTTTTTTTTTTTTACTCTGTTATATTCTGATCACCCTTGAAAGCGCTGGGCTTTCAGTCTTCCACAGTTTGGTGGTGTTGTTTTCTGGTGGTGCTGCTGTGATGTGTTTTTTGTCAGAGGAAATTTACAGGCACATTAGCCTACTTGACAGGCACAATGAGCCACAAGGCTCTCCTAAGGAGCAACTTCCACGTGCCGTGGTGAGGTTTTTCTGCATCTCTCCATCCCACCCTCCCTCTTACGGTTTCCCCCTCCATGATTCAGACACAAATCCCAACCACTTTCGTTTATAAGAATTACCTTGGATCCTGAATTTAACTCTCTGGTTCCTGATCATGGCGTTATATCAGTTCTGTATTAATTAATTCATGTTCCTACAACAATCTGGCTAGTTTGTGGATACAGCCAATGTCCTCTCTTATAGCCATCTAGATATCAAGTAAGGAACAGATGATGGGAACCTTTTTTTTTTTTCTATGATGAGTAGTTGACATAAATTGGAGAAAACAGCATCCAAGGACTATACAAATGAAAAGCAATATAATTAAATTTTATGGAGGGTGTTTAGAGAGAAAATTCTAAAACAATTTTCTCAGTTTGTCATAGAAAAATAGTCGAAAAGAATCAATAAAACTTATTAAAAATTCAAAAATCATAAAATGAGACATGACTGAAAGGGTAAACTATTTTCTTGGCAGATTCCAAATATATTAGAGTATTTCCCTGCAGCCACTGGGGAACTGCCGGCCTGTGCATTTTCAGCTTCGTGTATACTGTATTGCCCCTAGGGAAGTAAATTTGCTAAGACATAGCAGTTCTGGAATATTCAGCCCCTGACTTGATGTTAAGCTATCTCTTCAATTTAACATCTTCCAGGCCTTTTAAGTAATTTTTGCAGGGTGATTTTATTTTGCGATCATTCCTTTTGTCCTTGTTATGTTGGGACCATAAGCGTGTAACTATGTAACCTACAGAGATTACTTAGAACAGTCGGAGGGATGCCTGGCTAGCTCAGTCTGAGGACTGCGTGGCTCTTGATCTTGGGGCCATGAGTTCGAGCTCCACGTGGGTTGTAGAGATTACTTAAGTAAATGTACTTAAAAAGAAAAAAAACAGAATTTACTTAGAACAGTCTCAAGTCACATGTGAATTTCTTGCTTGATTCTCTGCTAAGAAGCAGAGAGGTATTCACCAAACCAATCCATAATATTGGTCTGAGCTGCTGTTTGTTGAGTGAATAAATAAATGAATGAAACTTGCATTATCTGGAAAGTAAGAATAGGTGGTTTCCTGGTGGACTCACTCTTTAGAGAATTAATAAGGAACGTTCTTACTTGGGCCCTGTCTCGGTTCAGGCTGCTGTAACAAAGTACCATGGACCAGGTCGCTCATAAACTGCAGAAATTTATGGCTCACAGACCTGTAGCCTGGAAATCTGAGATCAGGGTGCCCTCAAGGTTGGGTGAGGG